ACAGAACCTAAACCGCTACCTCTTTGGAAGGGTACTCCACGAAAAACATTATAACCACCCCATTGGTCATTAGATTCGGTCAAGGATGACCAATCAACATAGAGAGGATTAAAGTCAATATGCATTGTATTGTACAAAACTTGCTCTTTCAATTATTTATATTAAAAGCTTTAGAAGCAATAAACTGCGAGACAAATCTATCAGCATTTACTCTGCTTAATATTAAAATAATATTCTCTATAGAAAAACCTGAACAACGCATAAACAGAAAAAATATTGCGTATTTACCACAAGTGTGCCCCATTGGCCTTTGTATTTGAATATTATTATAGGAAACTTTTGTAAAAGTTGATAAATATTTTTTAATATAAAAGCTAAATGGAGGCCAGAATCCTAACGAATCAAAGTAATCAGCACTAGAGGGAGAGGAGCAAAATATTGCTATCCAATGAGAGCCTGGGAGCATTGAAGGATCCGTATTTACGACCATACAATAGGGAAAGGTAGATATTGTAAGAGGAATCCTATCAGATGCAAAACAGCCAATATAAAACCTCTTTGTAATAGCATTTCTTCGCAGGATTTTGTCAATTTGTATCGTATTCATTAAAAGTAGGCAGATTTTTTAAAGTGGAGAGTTAAAGTACAAGTTCCGTATTGGAATGGCATAAGTACCCCACCAGCCGTGCGTATTTCAATGAGTATCTCAGCAATTTCTTTAACAAGTAATTTATGATATTGTACAGAAAGAAATTGTTCTTCAATAATTTCGTCCTGCTTGCCTCGAATTGTCACAATACGAAGTACAGGAGCTGTGACATCCCCAATCACCATTGGTTCAATTAATCCAGGGGCATAAACATGAAAGCTAGAGACACCTCCACTCATATCTGGCATGAATTTTGCAATAGTTGATTCATTCAATACAGTCTTGTCAAATCCTAGAATATAAGCTAATTGTTCAGTAATCTCAACTTTCTTTACGTATTTTCTACCTACAAATAGAGAAAAACGATTTTTATATGAATGAAAATCAAAGGCACAAGCAATTCCTGGTTTCCGATAAACTTGAAGCCATGGTTCAAACCCAGTTTCTCTGGTTAAAGATAATAATTTTTTAGTATTTTCATCAAGACTCGAGTTAAAATTCCGTAACATCTCCTCATAAATTTCATTCTCTGACTTGATATCATCATCTTCTTGTACTTCAGTTGCATTTAATTCTATTCGTTTCTCCTCTCCTTGTCTCCTATACTCTTCTTTTGATTTTGTTTTAAGATCTTTAATTCGTTTCTTGTATTCCATTTCAGTATGCCGTAAATTTTCAGCAAAAGTTTCACACCCTTCACTTAAAGACCTATCCAAACTTTCCTTGAGTTGTTGGGGATTATTCAGATTACCAGAGAGAACAGCTATTCTAACAACCTCACCACTTTGCCATGTTACAGTCACAAATTGATCAGTACTAGTCCCTATTGAAGGCCATGAGTGCGGGTAGACCATAACAGTCAAGCCCACATACCACTCCGAATTAAATTGTAGTTTACGAGGGAGGCGGACTCTAAAGGAGTTTGTCGTATTTCCATCAACATTTGTGTTTGAAGGTAGGATGATATAGAAAGAAGTCATTTTTTAAATATAGGTAAGAATGACAGAATATTTATATCATTTCCAGGTTATTGCATTAGCAGGAATCCACCTGTTATGTTCGTTACCGTATCCTTTGAATTTTACAAATATCTGATCCTCTCTATTATGTCTTCGTTTATCCAAAACATTTTCCACAACATAGATACTTTCTTTTAATCTTTTTCTAACTAGAACTAAATCATTAGCATAAAACCATCCTCGAATTAAAGCTCCTTCCCGATCACGAATTCTATAGGTGGGAGGTTGATGTGGAACTAATCGGACTTTAGCAATAATAAAAATTTCATTAGTAAAGTTTGGCAAATAGCCCTTTTTGAACACTTGCTTATACTTTTCCACTCTTACAGGGTCGCCGACATTAAACCTATTTTCTTTCCATCGTGTCGGGCCATGCTGCTCAACGGCCTTTTCTTTTAGGGATCTTCGCAATGATTCAGCGTTCTCATAATTAACATCTACAGGACGCATCCCAATACTTGAATTGAAGGAATTGTTTATAGAATTGACAATATCTTGAATAATATTCACCCATTTTAATGTTTTGTTCTCCGTAAAATAACGATATAATCGCTCTTTGATGCTACGATTGGCTCTTTCAGCCATACCTGCATGCCATACTGGAGAAGTAATCATAGAGAAATGTTCCATATTTAATGATTTGAAATATTTTTGTACTGGAGTTGCAGTAAATTCCAGTCCTTGATCAGTCAAAAGTTTCCAGGGAACAATTTTTACTCTACCAAATAGCTTCTTAAATGCATTAATCATATTCCCGCTATGTTTACTTTTGACAGGTTCAACAAATATTTGGCGGCTAAGTGTATCTATACAGACTAAGAGATAGTTAAACCCTCTATTCTTACTGCTTATACGATTAAAAACACTCAAATCAGCCTGCCATTCAGTATGCAAACCCTGAGCAAGTGTTGGCATTCGCTTAAATTTTCTCACAACCCTCCTATGGAGGGTATAGACATTTTGCCCTGCTAGATAGTTCTTAACATCTTGTCTTGTGATGCTTTTGTTAAACCGTTTAGCTTCTCGCAAAAGAGGCTCAACAGAAGTGAAACATGTAGGAGATGTTACATTTTTGTACAATTTATTTAAAAGCTTGGTCTTTTCCATAATGACGGCTTAAAACAGAATATACCGGAACCTTTTTGCTTACTTGTAGACTCAGGAAATAAAATTTGTTGTAAAATAGGATGATCGTTTATTCTTTTAATAAATTCGTCGTATCCTGTAGGTAATTTCTTTGTACGCATGCCTCTATTTCTAATTATATGATTAACAATTTCCTCAACATTACTTGTAATTAATGGATAATCATTACCAATTTTTCTTGCAAGTCTTCCATCCTCCAAAATGCCTAAAATATCAGCATTTTCTCTTAAATATTCCATTGCTCGATCTTTTGGATCAGCATCACTTTCAGCTGACTGGTATTCCTCATCCCCTTCTTCCTCTTCATATTCATCATTAACATCTCTATCCTCTTCCTCCTTTGTCTCTTCAATTTTAATTGGAATGAATTTTCTCTTTTTAATCTTTTTTCTAACTTTTTTTCTTAGGATTATTCTAGAACTAGCACCTAAATTTTCAGAAAAATTTTTCACATTTAAATTTATTGGTTTTTCCTCTTTTTCTTTGAAAATTTTGTTAAATCTTTTAAAATCCTGCTCATAGTTAATTGCTTGAGAATAGGGATCCTCTCTCACATTATTGGTAACAACATTTTTCAAGCGCTTTTTAATTAAACCAATAGCAGTTCCATCCCCCTTTTCTTCATTTTTCTCTAAAAGAGAATTGTAAAAATCTTCAGGAATAAGAAACATTCGCTGCATTTTTTGCATTTTTCTATTATTATTTCATATTTATATTATTTATTTTTTCAACAATTAACGGGATAACTAGACTTGCGATAAGTCCAGCCAAAGGAGGTATACCTTTTCCCTGTTGCAACAAATTTCTCGTTGAGGGAGCGGTCCGAGACCGACTAATTTTACGTAAAACACTTGCATTTCTTTGAAGAGTTTTTATCCTGTTTTTATGAAAAGGGAGACGCCCCCGTAGTAAATTTAAACAAATTTCAACAAAACATAATAATTGTTCATCAGTCGCTTTTTCCAAAAGATTTCTCAATACTTTTTTTGAATTTGTATTTGCTGAATGTAAAAATTCAGTATTCCTTTCTATTAAATCGCTAGTTTTTGTCATTTTGGAACATAAACTATTGTTAGCTTTTCATTGTATATATGTGTTCTAAGACGAAGCTGTTCAGGTGTACTTGGGTGCAGATCAACTAATAGATAACCATACATTTCCTTTGTCGCGTCAGCATACGATTCTAGAAAGTATTTTGACCGCGAAGGGAATAATTGGGTAGCAAGGTTTTTAATCTGTAGAGAACCTGCGGGATTCCTCATTAAAACCAAATAATGTGAATTATTACGCGGAATTCTTAATTCTTTACAAAATAAATGTTGCGTTAACAGTATGACACTCATTTTCCAGTTATGGGACCCCCTTGTGAATATTGTTTCTAATATAGTTGGATCAATTCCCACCATTAAATCGTCGAGTACAAGTAACATTCCATTAGCCTGCCTTTTAATAAAATCTTCGCTGGGCATACCAGAGTGAACAGTAACACCTATATCTCCCAACCCTTTACGCTGCATTTGTAATATATTTGAATTTAACTCCCCATAACAATAAAGTATCATTGAAATTTTTTCACTTGTCATTTCTTTTAGATTATTCAAAAGCTTTTTAACCCATTCGGATTTACCGGATCCAGTGCTTCCTGACACAATCATCGTGAAAGGGTGTTTGAAAAGCGTGTGAATAAAATCAACGTGTTCAAATCCGTTCATTTTAAAAGGTACAATCCAAGCATTTTAAAAGTATATATAGATCCAAAAAATTGTAATTTCTATTCAGAAATATGGAATTTCTTACGCTCATGATTTGGGGTGTAGAAGACGGTGTGCCATTTGTTCCTGAGCCTTTGCCAGTCGAGTCAGCCCAGCCGGAATTAGTCATTGCTGAGGAAGAACCGGAGGTTTAATTTTTATTTCAAACTCCAATTATTTTTAATTTTTAGCCAGCCGCTCCAACAGTTGGACAAGAAAACGCTAAGGAAGCAAAAGAGGAGCAAAAGGTAATATTTTTATTTCAAAGTCCAAATAATTTTTAATTGTAGCCACCTACACCCGCATTTGGTGTTCCTGCTGAAGTAGAGGTCAAAGAAGAAAATGAGGAGGAAGATATTGACGAGGCGATGTTCGACATGAGTGACAAGCTACTTCGCATAACTATAGACGAACCTTTGGACTGGACTGTCGATTATGCAAGTAGAAAATTGTACTGCTGTATTCAAACTTTTACCTAAGAAATTAAGATTTTCGCGTGAAGATTTCACTCAACTAGCTAGATTTGGAATTAACACAGAGTATAATCCCAAGAGATTTCATTCAATAATTATGCGCATTCGATTAAAAGAAAATAGAACAACTGCTGCACTCATATTCGAGTCTTCAAAAGTGGTCCTTACTGGAGTTCCCAACCCTGAACTAGCTAGAAAATTGGCTTGGAAAGTCACAAAAAGAATTTTTGCCTCTAACATGGCAGCTGGAAATGAAACTTCTTCAATTAGGCCAAGGAATCTCCGAGTCACCAATATTGTAGGTGTCTATTGCCACCTACAACGTTTGGCTATTGAGCAACTTTACACACAACTTGGAAACAACAAAAATTTTAGACAAGTGTTTTACGATCCTACAATTTTTCCAGCACTTAGATTTAAACTTGAAGAAGCTTCATGTCTTTGCTACATCTCAGGACGTGTGATATTGACGGGAATTAAATCGCAAGAACAGATGAAAGGGATATTTGAAAATATTCTTTTACCCCTATTTGTAAAATATACACGATAATAAATTTTATAAAATTTACTAGACAGTTAAATGTTTGAATACATTAAAAAAATAATATCTATGAATATCTAGCCATATAATCATCTCTATTCCATTCGGATCCCCCAGGCAATGCTTCAAAATCCATTTGTACTTCCTCAGGCTATAATAGAAAAGTTTATAGGTTATCATTCGTTTAATTACCTCCTCCCTATATCCAAAGGGCAAAGTCTCCATTCCAGGCATTATACTTCCCTTCTCATAGCAGGGCCTATAGTCTTTGTGAGCAGTATGCGTGTAGAGTTCAGAAAGTCTTGTGCGCCCAATCTGCGGAAAGTCCACCCCAATCACTCCATCAGCAAGAACTTGGTCACTAATATCAGTATTATTAATGAAAAATTTTTAAAAACTTACATCTCCCCATCAATGTTGAATTGATCAAGTACAAGTTGTTTCATTGAATGGAAATTGAGAAGTTGGTGAGTAGCATAGGAAAGTGGGAACGAACGGATCTTCAGCTCAGCCCTTTCATCAGCTCCTGTTGTTGAATCAACGTGACGATAGCCATAGTTCTTGGGGCCACCTGCAACAAACTCAACAATTCGTCTAGTTGGAATTTCTCTTTTCATTTGCCCAAGTGCTTCGCCTTCAACCACTCTTTCCCCTCCTTGCTTTGCAACATAAATGATCGAATCTGTGTCGCAGTACAAGAGTTGACCACCAATGTTTTTAACCTGTTGCATATACCCGTACAGGTGTAGTCTAGCATATGATGTGACGAATGCTGCGACGGGCAAGCAGTTGGTTTCAGGCGCCGTTGCAAACTCAGTCTTTTTCCTTAACACACATCTGTCCATCTCCTCACTAACGTGTGCAAAGTCCAGCGTGTCGAGAGTCGGGTCGTTCAAAAGTTGATGAAATTCTGCTGGTGTGCGAGCATATCGAATTTCAGTTCCACCAACACGTTGTGCCAGCTTTCCCCAAAGTGAGTTTGCCAAAATTTTCTAAAATTTACAAATATTTTAATATTGCTAAAAAATTACCGCAATCATTCTGAGGCCTGGGTTCAACTCCACTTTGCACATCTCCAGTCGAATACCTTCCACTTGTTCAAATTCCACCAAATAACATTGTTTCTGTTCCAATGTCTCACAACCTTGTGGCCAGCCACTTGCTTGTTGTTTAAGCCCAACAAATGTGTTGACGTATCCTTTGAATAGATCGGGATCCCAGCGTTCATAATGCCAAACCTAATTTCTAATTCTAAAAATTATAGAGGTAAAAATTACCTCATGGACGTCAATTACTTTGTACCATAACTCCAATGCCTTGTTTAATTCCACGTGGGTATAACCAGTCACCCAAGACCGTTGCTTTTCAGAATGGTGGCATTGCTGTTGTTGCCTATCATCAGCGCATGCAGCACACAGTGGAAACGTTAAACGTCCGTCATGCGTGCGATAGCCTAGTAAAAGTGGAAGTCCTTGTGTTGATGTTGGAGGGAGCACTCTCACCAGCAATAGTCCTTTGTAAGCATTGTTGCTAGAACAAGTCCAAGGTAGGGAATTGAGTAGAGTCTCTCTCGTCAGAATTGTTGGATGGCCAATAGGAAATTCACGTGCCTTCATCACGTATGGGTAGAGACTCACCTACAATGTAATAATAAAATTGATAAGGAAAAATTACAATGTCAATGTAGAGAATCTCCTCGTCATTTCCGCATATGTGATGGAGCTTAAAAGGCTCAGTTCTTCCACCTCTCAGGCAGTCTTCTCTTGGATCCATTGGTCTCACATATTCAATTTCCCACCATTGTCGCTTTAGCCCAGGATTTCGAATTAACCTTTCCTTCATTTCATGTCCCCAAACTACATGAAGAGCGTACCCGTGCTGATATTCCAGCTCCCATAGACGTTGTTGGGTCCTTTCATACAACTCTTCAGCAGTTTTTCCAGCGGCCAAACGTTGGCTGCGGACTGGGAAGCAAATTGGACAACCTAAATTTGATGATGGGTGAGTAGGAAAAGAATAAGTACCGTGGTAATAACAGCCCATGTATTCAATTGCCAATGGCCTAAGTGGTGGTGATCTATACCAAAGCCCATCAAGACGATAACCACTATCCTCCACATGAGCTTCACCAACAGCCCACTGGGCACATTGCACTTTCCCTTCAGCCTCTGGGTTTTCCTTCTCAAACAGCTTGATATAACGCTGCGATTCTGCTGATGCTCTTCTCCCACGCAAATAACCTCCTTCTGGTGAATGAACAAGCCAGTTCTCAGGTAGGAAACATCGGCGTAGTGTTGTTAGAGCGAGACCTGCCGCAGTTGAGGCAGCGATGAACGGGTCCAACTTCTGAGTATGTGCTCCGATTAGATGTCTAAAACGGAGAACGCTCTCCCGAAGAATGGCCACGTCGTTTACACAATAGACGATTAGCTGTTCACGTAGTTGAAAGTGCGTTGTTGGGTTGTTCATTTGTTGTTGATGCCATTCCAGAAGCTTTGTTCTCTTGTCAGCCTTCTTGTAATCAGGCTGGTAGTATTGCAGTGGAGGGACGCCTCTTATTCTCTCGTGTAGATGTTGTCGTTTCACGTAGAGATAAGGAAAAAATGGCTTGGTCGTAGCCACTTCCTCCGGAAGAGCAAAGACTTTGGTGAGGGCATCAAGTTCGCAAAAGAAGTAATTGAGCGAATCCTTGAAAAGGACTTTTCTCTGTCGGTTACCGCCCAGCCGCATTGAATAGATTTTAAGCCCTGTAGTGCAGAGTTGTTTTGGGGGTATGCTGCGATAATGAAGAGCCTCCAACAATAAATGAAAATCATATTTACCACCATTGTGGGCGATGCAGACTGTGAGAATATTTTTTGGTCCGTGGTGCTGCAAATAATCGAGAAATTGGTCTACAGGGCTTTGCTGCACGTTGTCAAATGAATGAAAGAACATACGACGTGGGTTATAATAAATGTTGTCTGGTGTTGGTGTATTATCGTCTTGAGAATTCTTGAAAGGTGGTGAGCACCAACGACGCCATTGATCGTTGCACGGCTTTCCAAAAAAACAGCCTTCCGATCTTCGACCAATATCTTCTACGCCAATCCCGGCAATGATGCACTTTTCGCAAATAACCTAATGAAAACCTGACTTTTTTCAGCAAGAAAAATTATTACCTCCGCAATTATTAGCATTGGCACGTGTTTGAAACCTTTGATGGTGTTGCTAACTTGCATTGGTTCATCTTGACTGGTCTCTGCATCAAAAAAGCACAAGCGCACTGGAGTATGCTTTCCATCATCCTCTTCGTCCTCACCCGATTCCTTTAGTGGTTGGATGTAACATGGTTGTTCATGTTCATGCGCCCCTTTACATTTCTTACAAGATAAACGTAGATTTGAGCTAGTAATTGGTTGCTGTTGTTGTTGTTGTTCTACTCGTGGGTGGCATTCTATTTGGTGTCTTTGTTCTTGATCGGCATAAATTATGTGGGAGCAATGCGAGCAAATTCTTCTCATTTGGCAGATGACTTAAAACTTCTATCCCTTCGTCTAATCATTTCTTCAGGAGCCTCACTTCTCAGATGGTAGTCATAGCACGAGCGTTGTGGAAATACAAAACCACAAGCAGCGCATGGAATTCTCTCTTCCACCTAAACGAAAAAGTATTTTTCATAAAATCTAAAATAGTACCTGACAGGGGAATTCTGGACCCGATCTCATGCATAATCTGCATACAACACTGCATCCTGCCCAGTGACTCCATCTCGATACACCTTTTTCACAGTCGATGCAATAACGCTTAACGTTGAATAGTTGTTCAGGCCTTTCAATGTAGTGATAATGGTTGTTTTCCAAGAGAAGACAAAGGTTGAACCGAGCAGCCTTTCCATCTCCTTTGTATACAATCCGATACTGTTGCTCTTTTTTAAACACTACAAGCCGAATATATCCCGCACCACCCATATGAAAATTTAAAGATTGTTGTAGAATTTCCACATGGTGCAGAGAGTATTCCTGTAGATCAAGAGGAATACCTGCCTTTATTAGCATTTGTTGTGCAGGTCCTGCGTGTTGTTCTTGTGATTGTTTGCAAAATGTCTTGAATCGATCTGCTGGTTCTCCTCTTTCCATCATCCAAATTTTAGTTATTCCTACAAAAACCGCCCTTGCGAGACATAGCCGATCGTTTGGGTTGATGACACGGAAGATTGACCTGCAGTTCGCTGTGACAACATGTTCATGATCAGTGTCGCATCCACCTTGAGTAACAGGATCAGCTTACAAAGTATATGTGAATCTATACTGTTACTCACCGCTATGGTCAGCAGGATTGTCTGTCCGTTGTGCTCCCAATGGCCAAACGGCTACCACTTTTGTTGTTGTCGTCCCGCTAAGAAGATCAATCCCGGCTTGGGAGATCTCGTTCAAGCGCTCAATAGCTGCTGCAAGCGCTGCAGGATTATTCTGAGCCAATGGTCGTAGAGGAAGTGTGAAAGGATGATGGAAGTTTGGGGGTTGTACTTGCAGACCCACAAGCAAAGGCTCAGGGCGACCAGCCAATACTCGGTCCAGAAGCTGAGAGACAACATCGGACATGGCCAGGTCGGGACGAGCATTTTCCTCCAACGGGCGGAATCGGATTGTGCATGTTTCGCCCCTTGTGTTGCGAGATGTTGATGCGAATGGCTCGGAAGACTCGATAGTGAAGTATTCCTAAATTTTAATTTTAGTTAGGGATAAGAGTATTCTGGTCAAATAGGCCCCGACCTTAGTAAATTTAAATCATACCTCGTTGTTCATTGTATTAGATTCGGACATATGAATATTTTAAACTTTTAAAGAAATAAAAAAATTTTATAGGTAAATGGTTGTAGAGACCTTTCTATCGTTGGAAGAATGAAACTTGATATAGCTACTGGAAACTGCCGGGCTTTTATAGTGCCAACCCTACATACTTTGCCGCCCGCTCCTTTCTATACTTTAGCCTTTCATCCCTTTGCGTTATCATAAATTCCTCAAATT